TTGCAACGATAAAGCAGTCTATAATTCAAAAACAGAGAACAAAAAACAAGAATATTTGAGCAAATTATTGAGTGCTCATGTTCTCCAATGTTGAAAAACCTTCTAATATGTTCAGCCCACATGCTTCTTAATTGCTTATGTTTCTTTCATTTTTCTATTACTGGAATAACCTTGTAACATAATTAATATAATTTCCCTGTTCCTCAGTCATCTTTTTATTATTGACTCAGGGGCATATAATACATGAGTGAATATTGAAGCAAATAGATTCCTGAGAAACAAACACTTTTGCAGCAGGAAATCCAAGCTGAAAAGTTGAAATTTATATGGTCTTGAAGTTTTAAAAACTGCATTTGATTCTGCAAATTAAGGAGCAAGAAGATGGACTGAAATATAAGTTTAACTAGGATAATAGACACCCACTGCCCGAACAAGGAAACTGTAGAGGGTAAAGAAGATGTCAAGAAGATACCTTGATGGAGGTGTGCAGAAGCTGTTGGCTGGGCAGAAGGTGATGATATATTTTTTAAGTCCAGAACATCCAGGTAACATTCTGAAGCAGACACCTCCCTAATTCACTGAACTCAAGAAGGAGAGGAGGGACAGCACAATCAGACTTGCAAGATTCTGTTATTATAGCCAGTCTGAATAAAAGTAGTTTTAGCCTTCCTGTGGAGTTGATTTCATGGACTGGTCTACCTCGTGGAGCTGACAGAAACCTTTTAGATGCTAAAGCATATTGCTGTACTCCTATTATATTGAGGATCTTTCCAAATAAACTTTTTATGGTGCCAGAGGGGTACTGTGGGGAAGCAAGGACAGTCAGCCACTAAAGAATTTTTAAAACGTCTTTTAATTAACAACAACAAGCCTAAAGCTCCTAAATGTTAACGGCATTTGGAACTGTGATGTTCTCTAATACGTTTTAGTAGTGTTGATGTGGCTCTTAACCCCCCCAACCAAAACAAAACAAAAAAGTAAGCAAGCAAATACCCCCTCCCAAAACCCCAAAGTCACTCGATTTCAGATTCTTTTTTGTTGGATAACTACAGTAGTGATTGGTTTTGCTCAAACAGGATATAGAGGCAGCACTATCTTTGTTTTAATAAACTTTATAATGCCTGTTCTGTCAGTGGTTTATAGAATTATGTGGAGATGCCATTGTGCATTTAAAAATGCAAACATTGCTTGGCCTGCTAAGCTGAAGCATGGGCACCCTGCGCAGCTCTTGGATCCCATGGGTGTAGCGCATGGTGCATTTGCTGCAAAGGCACATTTGAACTTGCTGTTTTGAGACCAGTTTGCCACAGTGCTTCAATCTATCACTTTAGCACACCTAGTGCAAAAGGAAGAGTTGCTTTCCTGAGCAAAGGTGCATGCATAACTCATGATGAATGTTTTGTTCTATTAAATAATGTGTTTTACATGTAGGATGTCAATGCTGGCAGCCAGACGGGTAAGTTTTTTTTGTTCTTTCTTTCCCTAATCTTCTCATTTCATCAGGCAAAAGGTGACCATTTTTTTCTTGTTTTTGGCAATCAGAAAGGGAAAAAACCCCTAAATATAACATGATAGAATTCAAATTCCAGACTCTGAAAGGTTAGGTTTAAACACCAAGACTATCGATTTAGAACAGGTATATTTAAAACATTTATAAAGCAAATCTTTAGTAAACTGATTGGAATTTCATATTTTTTGCCAGGATACCCTGAATAAGGTAATTAATTTGAAAGTGTTGTGACTTGTATAAGAGATCAAAAACATATAGCTAGCATATTAGTAAAGCTTCCCCTCCCTTCTCCTCTACTTTCACCAGAATATCTATTTCTCCTTGCCTCACTCCACCAAGGCAGATGACTGTTCACTCTGAGTTCAAGGAAGGCTAGGGCTAAGGCTGAGATGTAGGCTACAGAAATCTGGATTAGATAGCAGCAAAGAGTTAAAGAGCTTTCTGTATCCTTTTGGTGCAGTGTAGTACTGAGTTTTGTTTAAAAGAAACACCCGAATCAGTTTGTTCTGTTGAAACAGAGCCACTCTGAAATGGTCTGATGGAATGTCAGGGATACATGTTTTGTTCTGAGCTCCAAAGAAAACACATTTTTTTATTTTATGCTCACATCCCTTTTCTCCAGGAGCTCAGAGCACTTTACAAAGGGATTTCTCTTCATTTTATTCCCACAACAATCTTGTGAGGCATATTGGTCACTGGCCCAAAGCCACCCAGTGAATTTCCATGGTTGAAGATGGACTTTAACATGGATCCTGAGTCACAGCCCATCACCTTACCCACTGCACAACATTGCCAATGAGCAGTGCATTTCTCAAAACAAACACAAAAACCTGACTGGGTTCAAGCCTGTTTGGAAGTCACTGGTCAGCGGGGCCTAGTCATCCCTCATTCTGCTTTTTCCATCTTAAGGAAGATGAGGCTTTGCCCACAGAATCTGAAAGGCACCCAGTTGGGGGAGGCTGTCCATTTCTTTCATGCAAAAGCAGATGGCTTGTGTCTCTGCTGGGTCACCATCCCTGAGTAGCTGGTGGCATTCTATTCAGTAATAAACAAATTGCACAGATTGGGTCTAGCAAAAATCAGTTGGGGCACTCTTTATCCTGAGTGCATCTTAAAGGGATTTTTTGTGCTGAATCTAGTCACCTCGGACTAGAATTAATTCCCCACAGAACAGGTCTATCCAATCTAAGATGTAAAGGTAGCATGTCCCCTCTTGAAATCCTGGGGTGTGGACTCCAGAACTGCCCCCTCCCCTGCAAAGTTGATGGTACATTGTACTTTTAAAATTGACAGATGTAGGGCATTGACAAATATTATTTATATTATATAATACTTACTTTATCTGTCTTGAATTAATTAAATGAAAAATAAATCAAATTAGTTTTGGTGCTGGTTCCACCTCACTTCCTTGGTACGCAGATCCTGGTCCACTGTTTAAAGCCAAAGTGAGGCTCATGCCTTTAAAAAACACAGCACAGCATGTCAAGCAATGATTGCTCACTTCATCACCTCCTTAAGTAAGACTGAGATGCCTCCCCAAATTGCTATTCTGCCACCAGATGGCACTTCTTTACCATTTAATTGCCTGTCTCTGAAAATCCCTTTGCTTTAACTGTCCTGGATAATAGAAGAATTAAATGTATAAATGAGGCGGATGTATTTTTGCACTAGCAAGTGGAGAAAAGCTATATTAGTAGTTCTCTGCAACAAAATGGTGCTGTAAAGTATCTTTTTGGCTACTGGATGATGGACCTGACAAGAAAGGATTAACTTTTCTTCTGGTGAAAAGATGAGGCCAAGAAAAGGAACTTCCTTCTTGTCCCCTGGATGGGAAGCACCCTTTCAGTAATTACTTCAACCATACAGACATTATGATTTGCAATAAACAGTCTCTTTAAAGTATAACCAAATCACTGCACCACTAACTACTGTACCACCAACCCATAAATCAGATATTTTTCTGAGATTTTTCCTTCTTCATATGCACGAGGTTGCCAGATCCACTGTCCACTGACCAGGACACTTAATACTCAGTCCAACTACCATTTCTCAGGCCTAAAAGCTAATAGGAAAGGGATCTACTCTATCAATATTCCCTAGAGTTTACTGTTTTACAGAACCATTTGCAGATGCCTGTGGAAGCCCAAATGTCAATACTGCAACATCTACCAAATGTGAGAGTCAGCCCAAGTACCTGCTTTACAAAGCTGTCAGGACTATCCGCTCCCAGGCCTGCTGACACTGCTGCTTCCCCAACTAAATGGATTTTGATCTTATGGGATCTAGTACGTGAGCATGCTCATGGAGGCATTTTCTTTTACCCCAGCTAATGGTGGAGAATTCATCTTCCTTGATCTTCTCATATGTTGGAGATCAACAAGTTACCAGAATTTCCATGTGCATTTATTTAGATTCTAACTATACTTTGCCAGAAAGCTCCCTAGGATGTAGCAGATTTGGGCAGAATTTGGGTCAAACCATGTATTGCAATCTAAGGTATGAAATATGATACATTTGTAGGACCACCCTTAGTGGAAAGGAACTCTCATAGTTTTAACACATTTGTAAATTCTTTGTTATTTATCTGATTATATTCTTTATTTTGCTTTTTATTCTGTCTGGTTTATATAAATTCTTTTCTTTCCTAAAATGTTCAATTACAAATATTTTTTAAAATATTCAAAGTATTTCACCATCCCTTCTTACTTGCACTGCTCTTTGCTCTAGCAGAAAACCCGTAAGGTATTGCTATCACTCATAGCAAGGCCCTCAAAATGCTCCCAAAATCTATAACTAAGCCAAGTCCCTGTTCAACATTTCATTCAACTGCCTCACATCTTCATCTGCTTTAACCCTAACCCTTACAGGAGCATTTCTGATGTTTGCTTTGCTTCAAGTAATGATGAAGAGGCCTAAAAGGACTATCACCGAGAGATCAGACGCTACAGGGGAACAGGGTGAATATTGGAACAGAGTTGCCTCTCTCCAAGTTCAGTCTTCCAAATATAACCTTTTAATCTGTGAGTTGGGGCAGTTTCCTTGCAGCTTAAAAGGGAAAAGAAAGAAGAGGTGGGCCATGCAACATGCCTGGGGCCACTTCCATTCTTAATTTCAGCCTCAGGCTCAGGCCCCTCCCCTATTTGGGAAGTCAGAGGTAGGGAACCTTTGGGCAAGGAGAGCTAGACATTTATGTGTTTTCCCTCCAAGGGCCAGAGAGAAGATGGTAAAGATGTGCTGATGTCAAGCAAAGAGCCCCTCCCAATGTGAAATATTGTGCTGCTGAAAATGGGCATAGTGGATTTCATCCAGCTTGAAAGAATGACTGTATTTTATAAGGCAATGTTATTTTGTGAGCCATTTCAGGTATATGGCAGGATTATCCATTTAATTAATAAAATAAATGCAATGTCTTTTCATATTACTGAGTAGTCTCCACCAATACGTGCAGTGCCAGTAATAAAAACTAGACAACACCCTTAGCTTTGTTTTCTAAGTCAATACAATTTCTCAAATTTATTTTTAAGAATTACTTCTAATATATCTTTTTCACAGAAGGAGAGTATAGGGAATGTTCTCATTCCATCTGTAAACACTGAAATACAGATCTGGGAAACAAGGGAAGAGACACAAAAAGTGCATTTTACAAAATTATCAACTAAAATATATTTTACATGTATTACATTTCAATTTAAATTCTACTGACTGCATTTTCAGTTTCAAAAATATTTCCATATCTAATAGATTAAAAAAGCATGAAATATTTTCATTGAAGATAAGACATTTCAAATCATTTACATGCTGTCTGCAAACAGCATAAAACAACTACACAAATCTTTAAAACAATATTCTTGGCCTGAAGTAGATTCTGACAATTATCAGAAGCAGGGAAGGATTTTGGGTTTCTCTTCTCCAGAAAAGGGGCTCCAACCCTATTTCAGAATTGGGCAGCTAACTATTTTTTTGTTTGTTTGTTTTTGGACAACTGTTGCTTTCCTGCCTGGAGAAGAAGCCAGAGAAGGGAAGAAGAGGAAGCAGCAACAGAAATCAGGACGTTAGGAAGTTATTCTGGTTTCTGAAGCTAAATCTCCACTTCTCTCATTAGGGCAGGAAGACCACCCTGAATCTGGGTCTCAGTTCACCATGCTGAGGATTCCAGCCACCACACCATGAATTCTCAGAATTTGGGGGGGGGGGGGAGAGGCTCTCTAGCAGTAGAGTTTCTCTCCCATTTCTAGTTAAGAAAAAGAAAAAAAGAATCCCGAATCTGATTCTGCATAGATCAGACTAACCAACCCTTCATACACACTCCTACCCAGATCATTCGAGGACTATTTCTTTATCTCTACAATTCCCTCGACTTGGCAAATGGAAGAACAGGCCACAGCTACTGAGCATATAATACTGCTCCCAAAGCATTCTCTCTGCTTACCCCTTCCATTAATCAGTTCCCTCTCCAGGGTTGCTTTCCCTTGTGTGAAGAAAAGTTGTACAGAATCTTCTGTTCCATTCCTGTGCTGTAACAAGATATGCTTTGTAGCCTTAGTCAACAAAGAGCCCTTCTGTGTCCAAGCAGTGGTTCTGATAAAGGAAGCCACTACTTTGACACTAGCAAGCTCGGATAATTCATGCTCAGTGTTAGGGTGGAAGATTCCTCCCCCAAACAGGAATACATCCATTCCTACTGGAATGGAATCACCACCTGATCTCTGCTATCCACCATGGTTAGATTTTTTTACAGCTCTCCCCCATCACTTCCCCTCTTTGGTATGTAGAGCAAGTCTGCAGATACCATTTGCGTCAACACACAAGAAGCTGAACATGGTAGGGCTACTTTCTCCAGAACTAACAGACATAGAGCACTGGTGGCCAAACTCATGCTTCTAGCCTGAGGGTCAGAACAGATAGTGCTAATTCTACTTGAAAAGACAACAATATTAAAGCCGTAGGAACACTTCTATAATAATACTAATTAAATCTCCCCCACCCCCTTACAAAAGAAAAAAAAAGCAACCACATAGGTCCCCAGTTCAGGTGAGCAACTCTGGCTGTCAGCAGGTACATGGACTGATACAGTGTTGATTCTCCTTTAGAATTAGTGCAATCTACAAATGGAATCCCAGTTGGGTGTTGACTGATTTGGTGGACTCTTCTTATGCTGTCCTTTGGTTTGCTTTAGAATTAACTGAAACAGCTTTGTGTTAAAGCTAAACTAAAGTATTCTAAGAGCTATACATGTAAGGCAAGAGGCAGAAATATCCGTGAGAATCAAGTAGCAGTTTCTCAAAATGCAAACCTCTCATTGGTCAGTTCCTTTTGGAAGCCAGAGTCTCACCATCATGGGCATGTTCATATGTCAGTGTTAAGATATTCTGGGGTAGGTGGGAGAGAAGAGAGGTAGACAGGCAAAAAGCAGATTCAGCTGGGTTACAATGCCTGTTTCAAGACTGAAACTCAAGCACTACGCACTATGCTATCATTTCTCAACTCTGGCTTCTAGCCCTCCCAGGTAGATGAGTATGCAAATCCAGGTTCTACAAGGACTGTACATGAGAGCAAAGAAAATGGGATGGGGAAGGGAAAGAATATAAATTACCTCTGCCCAAAGAAGGCAGGCCTCTCTAGGTTTGTGGAGAGAAGAGATCAGTATTGTAGCAGCTGTTATTTATGTCTCAAGCTCTGAGAACTTTTCAAGTGCCACCCTACCATCCCCACCACCGCTGTGCCCAATTAGAGTGATCTTTAAGGCTGGGCCTGTTTCCTGATATCCTGACTTTTATGGCATTTATTTGGAAATAAATCCTACAGATGTCAATGTAAGTTAATGCTAAGCAATTGGCTAAGAGCTTCAACCTTAGAAGGATATGCAGCTTTTCACAATAGTGTGAGGTGATCCTATTACATCCTTCCCACTTCCTGCTTTGAAGGTGATGCCCAAAACAACCAATCTGACTGGGCAATCACAGAATACAAAATACCTTGAGTGTGGTCCTTCCCTTCTCAAGTGGTATGTATGCAGAATATGAGAAGGATTTTCAGTATATTAATGGCTCCAAAAACAAGGTCTCATCTCCATGTTCAATATCATACTAAACAAAAGGATATACGTCCTTCCTCTTCTTAGAAGAACATGACACCAGGAACCTTTTTATAGTTTGACTCACTCCTACACTGAAGTTTTCCTTCAGTATGTTCTACCCATCCCCAGCAAGATTGGCTCTAGATTCAGTTTACTGGCTTTTATCCACTTTTATCCTCTCTTCCCCCCTCCCTCCAGTATATGAAGCTCATTGTACAGATATATAGATATAGATTTACAGAAGCAAGCACCTATATCTATATACAGACACACATTTCTTTATAGATATATATTTCCATTTATGCTTTTTATATGAAGTGCTGTGCTTTGAAGATCTGCCTTAACAGGAAATCTGCTTCCAAATGTAGAGGACTGAGTGCTTCGGGGATGTTATTCAGTGCCTGTGGGCAGCACTCCACAAAAGGAGGCCCCTACATGGACAAAGAGCTCAGCCTGCCTAATGGCTTGCTGTCGCTACTCACTAAACCCACAGCAGTATTATTGTGGATTCTTCAAGATGCGTCCATGCCTGAAATCATAGACGTGACGGCAGAGGAAAACCAACTCTGGATCAGTGTCCTCTGGCACCTTGCGATGGGCAGGGGTGGAATACTCTTCAGATGGAGGAACCATCACTGTTTTCTTGCCTGGAATCCCTTCCACACGACGCTTTGCCAAGGCACAAAATCTGCAAGACAGACAAATAATGATGCTAGTGCATTCTTGGTTACTCTGACACCTGCAGTTGGCCACAATTCATTGGCTCAGGGATTTCCCAAATTTTACCTTTTTTAGTTTTTCCAACTTGAAGAAATTGTTTTCTATTCCAGCTGCTATGGTTGCCCAGTGACAAGTTGGAGGCTGTGCTGGCACATGCACATATGTGCACATAGCAAAAGATTCCTTTGCTGGCCTGAGCCAAAAGACTGCTGAGTCCCATGCAAGCTATATGATGAAAGGGGGAGCCATGAGCCTTCCTCTCTTCTTCCCTTCACTTAGTAATATGCTTCAAATTACTTGGCAGTGGGACTTCAGCAATCTTTTGCTATGTACCCATCAATCAGCTGATTGACAGGCTACTGGGAGCCATGGTGGGCCACCCAGAAGCTTCCAAGGGCTGTATGCAGTCTACAGACTACAGTCTTGCTCTATGATAAAAGGCAAGCAAAGCCAATCTCCCACAGTAGATTACATTGCTCTTTTTCTTGTAGATTTGGAGCTGTGGGTTCCAGATCTATAAACACTGGCTCATAATGTATTGATAAAACTTCTGAGAAAATAAGTGGGGAAAAATAATAGCATAGTCCCACTGTTCCTTCCCCAGCATCCTTACTCCAAGATCAAAAGCACAAAAGTGTTGAAGACATTTGGATCTAGCACATCTTATTTATTCACTTAACAGTTCTTATATACTGCCCTAATCATATGATTCTCGATGTTGCAAAGCAAATACATAATACAAAATATCAAAACTCATAAAAATACAGCAAAATCAATACTCATCCAGCTGAAAGGCCAAATAATTGGATTGGAAGGGATAGCTCTGCTTCCTTCTGTTTTTTACTACTGAGTCTACAGCAGGGATAGGCAACCTGGTGCCTTCCATATATGCTGGATTACCAAACCTATGAATTTTGCTGGGTCTGATGCTGATGAGAGACAAAGGCCAGTACTTTTATTAACCTACGTTAGTTGGCACATACAAAAACTGTCTGAAGACAAATGCCATGGTGATCTCATAAGGATGTCTGTGAAAATGCCCACAATAGCACTGATTGTAACATGTCTGTCTGTCTGTCTGTCTGTCTATCAATCAATCAATCAATAAGAGGAAAATTCACTTTGACTGAAAAACATTTTTAAAACAATGGTAAAGAATATTTTTTTAAAGAAAATAAAAATCTAAGGCATACAAAATCTACTTCTCAGAAGATCCTTCCTGATCCATATCTTGGACAAACAATACAACTTTTGACATGAACACTGGCTTAGATGCAGTTAATAAGCAAATACAAAGAATTTATTAAATAATATTTCCAGAAAGATTAAGAGCTTCAGTTATTTCTACTAGAGGAAAAACGCTTCTTGTGTTTTAAACTGTCTCAAGTTGTAGGGCTGTGCATAATTTTAATGGCAATCTGATTGTCTATTATAAATAGAGTTAAAGCTTGGATGCTTCAAAATGTTTGTTTAGAAGTTTGATGGAGGAGGGCAGGTATACAAATGAATAAGAGTTCCCAATACAAATACTGAGCACTAGTTTTGACAACTTGTGCACTGAAAATATGTGTTGCCCCACAAACCACAACTACAGTGGGGCAAAAAAGTATTTAGTCAGCCACCAATTGTGCAAGTTCTCCCACTTAAAAAGATGAGAGAGGC